TAATTGATGGTTACAAAAATAGAAGTATATGAATAGATGTGATGCACCAATTAGTAATGAGAAAAAGTATTGTTGATTTTTGAAAGTTCAAATCTATCTATATGTTCTGATTCATAAAACAAGTTTTGATAATTCATTATATCCATATGAATATGTGATAGTAAATGATTTGTAATGAACCAATATTAATTATTTTCATTTCTAATCTAAATCTAAAATCTTATTCATATTGTTCTGATGGGAATATGTGATTTATGATAGTTTATTGAGAAAGTTAAAATAGATAAAAATATATCAGAAGAACATATTGTTTCTCGTGGATGATTCATTTTATATATGGTAAATATGTATACTATTACTTGTTAGATTTTGATGAGTTATATCATATGAAAACATGAACATTGAATATAATATTCTCGGGTTTTTTGAAAGGATACTGAAATTTTTAAGACCAAGATGTTTTTATGAGATTGGTAAAAACTTCTAATCTCCATAATCAAAGTATGATACATTTCAAGCTCGTATCAAGAATCTTGTTTTATCTTTACTCAGTATATTTGAACGAGAAAGAATGTAATTGTAATAATTAGAATTGAATTCGTTTGACTAGATCTTATGTAGTAACAAATAAAATTAGTCTAAATTTCTTTAGAACTGATCTACAATCGGATAGAATTGGTGACAAAATTGATCATCATTAACTAGAAATAACTATAATTATTTTATTACGCAGATATGCATCAATTCTCTTTTTGCGTAAGTCACTCTCTATTACTTAATAAGCTTTAAAATATTTCAATTCACTACGACTACGTACCGGATTTCCTGTAATGTATTGTTTAAACTATAGCAATCTATATCATATTAAAGTTCTTGAGTTTTTGAACATTATAAAAATATTCAGCATGGAATATATTTATTTAATTATCAAAATGGTAGTTCAACAATACTAACAACATTTAATTCTCTATTATTTCCCTGTCTATTTTCATCTTCTCGTTGTAATCTTAATTGTTTTCCACATATTTTATATATCAATCGTTTGATTTCCTGACGAAAAGCTTTCGATACACAAAGAAATATGAAAAAACTTGTACAATACGGAATATGATGAAGAAAAATACTAAAACCATTTAGAAAATTATCTATTGCTTGTTGATACAATGTACGTGTTTGACTTTTTGTTGCTGCTAAATATACATAATACGCAGATGGAAATATATTAAATATAATAAATACAATATTATGAATGTAAAGACAACGAAGTAATTGAAAATCTTTTTTGTTCATCGTTCGAAATTGATGTCGGTGTTGACGTGAAACAGTTCGAATATCTCGAACATTTTTAAATGTTAAAATAGATAAAATAATTAGTATAATAGAAAAACAAATTACAATAATAAAATTTGAATAGGAAATAAATTCAAAATAAAATCCCGAAGTTTCATAATAACAAATAAATACAAATGGATATATTTCATATATATTTATTTTAATAAGTACATGTATATAGAAAATAATCCATAACAATGTGCTAGTGCTGATTGAAAAATAGGCTAAACGTTTTGAACTATATAAACGTGTATCAGTATTTTGAGAAGATATTAATAGACGATCGATCGATGCTAAAATAATATTATTTGGAAATAAAGAACCAAAAAGAAATGTAACATAATAAGATATTTTACACAAAATAATACTTGAATTATGTAGATAAATATTGTAACCCTGGGTAAAAATCGAATCAATTAAAGTAGAATTTATATATCCGAAATTAATTAGAAGACAAATAAGAAAATAAAATACACAAACATTTTTTTTTCCATGATTTTTTAAAAAATATTATAACACTTACAATAGTACCATAATTACCAATAATATATAAAATAGGACTTATATATCGATGAAGATAAATACAAATATTATTAAGTATATCAATGTCGACTGAAGTCATTCCTATAATTCAGTGTAATATCTTATAACTTAAGATTTGTTTAATACGAAGTGTATAGGTATTATAAAAGTAGTGTTGTTTTCTTATTATCGATTAGTTTCATAAATAACAAATTCTAATAATGTCAAATGACACAAAAATTAAAAGTGCATTTTATCTAGATAAAAATAAATAGACAGAAAACAGAAGGTTAAACAAACTCATTCTATCTGGATTTAATAAATGTCAATGCGGTTAATTTATTATTTTCTTTGCTCGAACTGAATAATTGTTTGAAGATGATAATTATTTCATTTTATCTATAAGCAAGCTAAGCTTGGTTTTGTAACTAATTTATTGGCTATAATAAAAATTAAATGATTGATTACATGAATTTAATAATATTTTCATCAGTTTTATTATATTTTTTAAAAATCAAAGAGAAGATATTATTTCAACTACAAAAAAATCAAAAATTGTCTGTTGTAATCAATTGTTTAATAGAAAAGTTATTTGCCTCGTTTAATTTCCATACATTCATCTGGACGAAAACGTTTTTTAATACAAATATTTGGTGAACAACATGGATTGATACCAAATTTACATGGAACACAATCGGAACCAATTTCACGAACACCAAATGATTTCGAATCATCATCACCATCATCATCATCACCTTCACCTGTTATTGTACGAAGAAACATACGTGCTTTTTTATCGGATAATTCCATATCATTATCATTATCATAATATAAACGTTTAGCATTTGTAAATGAAATCATATGGATTAAAACCATTGCAGCAATAAGAAGAATAAATATCTTCATAATTCTTACTTTGATATTGAACGAATAAGTGCAGTTTGAAAAAAAGATTATGTCTTTTTATACTATCATTTCTCTCTTTCAAAGACAATCATCCAATATTTAACTTATATTTATTCGAGAGTATACTCACATCAGATTACAAGCTTTATTTTCATTCAACGTTGCTCTTGTTCATTGTTAAATATTCTAAAGAGAAGAGAATAAGTCGTTGTTATATATAAATGACATCATAATAAAGTACATATGATTTAAGATATGGCTCATATTACATTATTTCTTTTTTTTTACAATCGATAATATTCTATCTGATAGATCATTTTTTTCAAATATTCTATTTATATAACTATATTTTCTAATAAGAATTCATTTCTTTGTATATATCTGTTTCGGCTATTCAATCCTATTATCAAATATTTAAAAGATAACATAAAAGTATTTACAAATTACGTAAATGATTTCCATACATAATGAATACATTGCTCGTTACAATACATAACATTCACTTTTAAGTTTATTCAAAATTGTATCCTACATTATTGCTTGAATTATCTTATAGGTTGTCAATATTCATGAAAATAATATATAAAGTTAATCGATTGTATTATGAAAAATATATCTAAATGTTTTTTCTTTATGTTAAAAGTGCTATTCAATGACAAATCATCTTGATTAAAAGATAGAGCATGCATGTATTATATACTTTAGTTTTAGTAAAATTGGAATCAAATATTTAAATAAACCAAGCAATTTGAGTTTCACTAATGAGTATCCTCTCTCAATATGAAGTATCGCTATATAAATCTTAACATCCATTATAGTTAGTCTTTGAACACTTATGTAAAGTACTGTTCCCGATTCCTTTCTAATTTTTGCACACATATTTCTTTGTGTTGACAAGTGTTAGCAGGCTAAACAGTTGGATCCACTTGTTTAGATTCTACATTGAAAATCGTACACTTGAATTTAATTCAAATCATATGTATATTAACGCTTATAAAAGCCGAGGGACGTTTTTTGGACAATAAGAAAAAGCAGATTACCAAAATGGTACTATGCTTAGAGAAAGCTTTTTTCAGCCATGGAGAGGAGAGGAGATTGATATCTCTTCTTCAATTTTTTTCCTGAGAGAGACCATACAGTTAGATTAAGGATAACACAAAACTCATTTACATAATATTTTAGTATAACCGTTGGATTATTCAGTAATGATATTTCAGACCGTTGCTATTGAATGTTCCTTGGAAGGCACATTTTCTTTATCATGTCATAATATACTAGTGAATCGGTTTCAAAAATTCCCGAGATGGTTTTATTAGATAGCCTAAGATTGTACTTAGCGAGATCACTCGAAAAGACGAATAAATCACTTTTTATCTACGAGTAAGCAAGATTTTTAACATAGAAAATCAGCAGTGTTCCAGTTTACTGAAAAGGGAACTTATCGAATGTGAAACAAGCACCACGAAACACTAGCACCATTCGCAAAACAACTAATCATATTTCGCCCATAGAATACTCACAATATCCACAGATTACCGACTAAAACATCCTCGGTTACCATTAAAAATCGTTATCGGAAAACGCCTTCAGACTATCCACTGCTTCCACTAGGTGCCAAATGAGTATAAAACATTCGTCAACAATAAATTTACCATTTGCCTACAAATTCTCTGATACACGCTCATACGCAACATTTCAACAATACTTCTTATCCCAGAAATACATCAAACCACTACAGCCATGAACTATGGCAAACCTTAACAGTAGCACCTTATTCGCCAACATCGTCAACAAAAAATCACCTTATAACAATGATGATAAAAAAAGTGGATTGGTTAGAGCAGTCGAGCTTCGGAGTAAAGTGCAGTCCAGAGTTTCCAATAGCAGTTGTACACAGCATAAGCAAAATGTGCTGTGCAACTGTAATTTTTTATTTGCATTCTGATTTACAATTTGCTCGAACAAACAAAGTGTACGGTGTACATTTTGCGAAAATAATTTACAACTTGATTCTCAAATGTTAGAAGCAGTAGGTAGTAGTCTATCGCGACCTCTCTAATAGAATTTTATTATTCGCTAATCGAACTTCATTGATTCGCTTTTTGTAAAGGACTATGTCAGATTTCGTTATTTAAAAAGTATTTATATAAAGTTCTCATGAAGAAAATAGAGTTATTTCTCATTTATCTTCTATTTATACTTCCAAGAGATATAGATTAAGTTAATTTGTCGACATTGAAATGAATCAATCCAAACGCGAATTCAATTTCGGTCATTCTACAAATATAATTATAAAAAAATTACGAAGTAAGTTATACGCTATTATATTAAAATCATTAATTATTATTTCTTTTCGAATTTTTCAGCAACATTTGATAAACAAATGTAAGTATTAAACACATATGTTAGATTTAATGATAGCCTTTTTTCTTTTATATTATATAGTTTACCACCTACTTGTTTTGAATATTTGCCCAATGAACTTTTTTATGAAATTTTTGATTATCTTGATCCATATGATACCAATCAAATATTTTTAAATCTTAACATTCGTTTTAAAAATTTACTTACACAGTCATTGCTTCCATTGAAAATCAATCTTTCAAATAAATTAAATTTATCAATTGAAGAACGTTCTCGACATATCATTATTCCAAATAAACATCGTCTTCTTTCACTTCATTTTAATGATCCTTTATGTATAAATACGTTTTTTATTCATTGTAATATTGATTCATCATTCACTCGTCTTGAATCAATTATTTTAAATAATGTTCTTGAAGAAAAAATTTTCGTAATTCTTTTCTATTTAAACACTCTATCAAGACTTTTCTCATTAACTATGCAATGTGAAAAAACATCATTACTGAATATTGCTGATATTTATCGATTAATTTTTCAATTACCAGTGTTGAAGTTTAACAAATTGACATTAAAAAGTGCTCCAGATGATTTAAGTGCTCTCATACCAGTTTCTATCAATGTCAAATTCAGTACTATTGAATATCTGAATATTAATATGCGTTGTAATGTCGATGAAATTACGTCTATACTTTATCATACACCTCATCTTCGACATTTATCTTGTAAACAATTATATCAAGCGAATAAAATTATTGGAAAAGAAGTGATATTAACATTACCTCATTTGATATATGCTTCATTTTTGTATTGTCTAGTCACATTTGATGTATTGGAGGTATTTATCAAAAAAATCTCTGCACAGTTACAAGTATTACGTCTTGTGACATCACATGATGAAGCTTATCTCGATGTTAATCGTTGGGAACGATTGATCAAAGAATATATACCACATTTGTGTAAATTTCGTTTTGATTATAGTGTATATCATAATGGAACTTCCGACGTGATACCAGATCGTGAAGCAATCACTCAGTTTACATCAACATTTTGGATTGAACGACAATGGTTTTTTAAATTTACAGATAAGTTGAATTGCTTCCTATATTCAATTCGTCCAATCAGGTAAGTGAAAAAAATATTCGGTTTATTATAACGTCTTGTCTTTTAGTAAACAATGGTTCAATTCTTATGAACAAATTATGGGCTGTGTTAATCAAAAGACGGATGAATGTACATTAAAATCTAACAATATTTCTTCTTCGTTTGAAATTAATCAAGCTTGCGGTCCTTCAATTCAAATGATTATCGCAGGATATTCACCTTCTACTTGGAATACATTTCATTTGGATCGAATGAAACTTTGTTTTCAAGTCATACCATTTACTCATTTAACTATTCATAGTAATAAAATTCCTTTGGATGTGGTACTTAAAATCATACATTTACTACCAAATATTATATACTTCGAAATAGATTCCTTATCAACTGCATCATTCAGTTGTTTGGAAAATAAGGATATAATAACTATGTTTCATTCGGTAAAAACTAATAGCAGAATTAGAAAAGTAAAATTTAATAATCAAGTTGAAACGATACAAATTCGTACGTTGATGTATCTTTGTCCTCGTATGGAATATTTCGAGATGATATATACAACAAAGAATGATTTAGAAAATATTCTTGGATTTATTTCAATGAAGAATAGTACATTTATACCTCATTTATGTTGTCTATCATTGTGTGTGCGTAATGTGATTAATGAGAATATCATCGAAAACTTACATGCAATTATTGATTTTGAAAGACTGTTCCATTCTCAGCAAGCCTTTCGAGACTATACGATTCAATGGATACAAGATAAAATCTTTTTACAATGGAAATTATGACATAAAATACTCTTTAAGCAGACATTATATTTATTTGAGAGAATCGATGATACATTTTATTTATTCATTTACGATTAATTACAAATAAATATTAGTTTCGAAAAAAAAAAACCTTTCATTCTCTCTGATGAACGAGTATATAAGCATATTGTTTTGTATAAAAACGATGCGATACGAATGAAAAGGAAGTTTTTTATATTGAAAATTTAATTTTTTGAAAATTTTCGATCATTATCTACCTTAACTACTACGGTATTACAAGATTTTATACAAAAAAAATAGCTATATAGTCATATACATAGTAATCATAATCAATATACATGAAAGTTGTTAAATTCATTCCACGATCAATATATATAATAAAATACTCAAGTGGTTTAATATACTACTTTTTAAATAATAACGTATGAAAATATCAATAATCTTGAGATTTGAATTAATCTCTGTTGCAAGGTAGTGTTAAAGGTTGATAGTGATCAAAAATTTTCAACATAAAAAACTACATAAATTTACTTTTTATTTAGTTATTTTAAAAATCTCAAGATTATTGATGCGATACGAAATAGAGAGAAATATAATAAATATATACAAATGAAAATAGATGATAACTAAACTTCTTATTTTTATTTAATATAATGTAGTAAATCTAGTTGATATATGGATAAGAACAATAAACTAAGGCGACTGACTGCAGAAGTGTAACAACCCTGATAAATACAGAAATCTGAACCATTTAAAATTTTGTTTTATTTTATCCTCAAAACCAATTAATTAAACTCAGATAATTAGTTTTCATAGATTAGACTCTATCATGTTGGATTGACGTCACAGAAACGGATGATTAGAATGTATATGCATATAGTATCTCATATATCATTGGTCGCATAACACTGAGTCATAGATAACCATATAAGGCAATCCCCATGTGTTAATTAATTTTGTTCTTTAAATGATGTATCTCTCGCACGGAAGCGAATTTCAAAAAACGGTTTTCAGATGTGCACTCAGCACGTTCTCACGAATATGGCAAGCTTTTTTCCGATTGAAAATGTTGCTTAGGTGCTAAGAAGAAGTGGCGGACTTGGATCGTGACTCATCTGTCGAAAAGAAGAAGAAGAAAAAGAATATCAAAAGCAATAAGTCGACCGCTGCACTTCGTGTAGTCAGCCGCCTTAGTTAATAAAAAAATAACTAGAACTTTCGATTCATTCAAGAATCATCAAAATTTAATCGTTAGTTTGACTCAGATAGATGAATTCGATTATATCTAAATAGCCAATAAAATTTGTATGATATAATCAGTATTTGATCGGTAGCTGATGAAAAGACTTCAAGAAAATTGATTCGAATATATATATATGAATACTATTTTGTTATTATTCTCTAGAAAGTAAAATTTATATCTAAATTATATATTGTTTTATTTAAATTTGAGTGACCTACGTTAAGACGATATGTATTCATTGAATTTTTTTTTTAATAGTACATCAATTTTTCCAACTTATATTTGAATTATAAAGAAAAATCATTTAATAGTTATATGCTTTTTTATTAACGACTAAATATTTCATGAAAAATTATACCCAAACCTTATTAATTTACATAATTACTTCTAATACATTTCTTTTTCTGTTCAAATTATTTAGAACATAAAATTAAAAAATAAATTATCAATAATCACAGTGAGTCATATATAAATTTAATGGATATGATCAATAGATATAAATCTAATATAGAAGAATTTGTTTTCATTTCAAATCTACAATGGACACGAAATATTGTAATTTTATTTAACTTATATAATATCAGAAGAGACGAGTCTAAATCTGATATTAAATAATATGAATATATATAGTCATAATCTATACTATATACGATTGTGTTTAATATTTATTCCTATACGAAAATGAATGAAATATTCAAGTAATATGATCTGTTATTTAATGAGAAAAATCCTCTTTTACATTTTATTAAAAGTATGAGTAAAATTAATAATAATTATTTAAATCATATATTTCAACAAAGAAATATTTTCTTTTTCTTCAGTATAAAATAATACCCATATGCTAACGATTTGATCTTATCCTGATAAATATAACGAATATTCTCGAAGCATATAACTAAAAAAAATCATCATGGTTTCTATCATATTTCAAAATACGAAATATTACAGACATGTCATTATATTGTTTGGTATAATTTAATACAAAAAAAAAATCATATGATCGTGCGCACTCATCCTGTCAATAGGTCAAAACATATGATTTGCCTCATTAATCTTATATTTCTTTCTTATTCTTATCTAGATAAATATTTTTCTTTACATTACATATTCATCGCAACTTGTGATGCATCACCGCGTGCGTATGCACATATAGAGACAAAGAAATCAACAACTGTTTAATGTCCATAGGTTTTGTGGTTGTAATGATTATTATAATTGTGGTTATAACAATAAAAAAAATAAATAACATCATGGTTTAGTGGTAGGTGAAGCAATAAAAATACATTTGTCTCATTATAGATTGTTTATATTCTAACAAATTATGCTTAGTTTTGATAAATATTGTTAAAAAAATAAAAAATAAATTTTTTCGCATCATCTGATGAATGAAAATAGTCAGTTATTTTTTATATTCCTCTTTTTTTCTATCTAAGATAGATTTTAATACACGGATTTGATCAATATTAAATATTACTATTCAAATATATTTCATAAATATAGTGAATATTTTTTTCATCTCGTGATTTTAATTTCATATACTTGATGTGTTCATATGATAGTAGTGCAAAAAACAAGAATAATAATTATATAATTGGTTTTTTTTTATTTGAAAAACATAAAAAGAAAATGTATAATCCACATTCAACAAAAAAAATTCAGTTTATTGCTCCTTTGATTTTATTGTATTGACAGATCAAATTAATGCTCAATGTCATTTTAATAAAATCCTGGATAATAAACTTGTTGTGGATAAAACATTGGTCGATTGATCATCGAATTTTGAGCAAATGCACAGCTTGGACAGCCAGATGATGGTGCTGTCATTGTTGAATAATATGCTGTTTGAAAAACCTAAATTCAATATATGAATGATAAGAATAATAAATAAATAATATATAGAACTTACCATGGTAGTTGATTAGACGAAAGTCGAGTTGGAGTGAGAAAGAGGAAGCTCTAAATAAAATAAAATAATGTATACGTATATATGATCAAATAGAAGCGTAATGAATTACTTACTCCTGTGGATAGGATGAGGAATACGAATGTAATGCTAAACTACAGCAAATAGCAGTCTTTATATAGGGTCGCTGGTGTAAACAAGTGAAGAGGTGGTGAGTAATTGACAGTTGATAATTGCTATCAGCAGGTTTCGAAATTCGAGAAGCACGCCTTTGATGTATGCTTGTTTTTCAATGGGGGACAATAATTACGTCTCGAATGTTTTCGAATATTAGAGAAAAAAAAGCCTCATCTTTCAATAAGATCAAAGTTAAGAGGCTAGAAAACATGATATTTTTCTCTTATTGTCTATATCTGGTGTTTTGCGAACATTTTTTTTCTCCTTTTGTCTAATATACGAAGTACAGAAGGTTACGAAAAAAATAAGCATAAATCATGCCTCTATCATCAATCTGTTTTTAGTGGCTAATCATTATATTTTAAGGGTTTCTCCAGCCAACTTTATAATTTCTTATATACATAAATAAACTCAGATGATTTTTTAACCTCTTGCAAATCTTAAGATTAAAGTGCAGATGATAGTTCAATGTATTTTATTATTATTATCATTATTATTATGTGTATATGCCAATATGAATAATATTGAAAAGGCAAGTACTATTATCAAACATACACTTTAAAAAATTTAGAATGTACTAGTAGTATCAGATCTTATCATCGTTTGAAGTGTTATTTCCTCTCGTTTAGAATATATTAGTAATATTTGTTTATGACTATAGAATTTTTATCGATGCTTTACTCAGCATTTATCTCATTAATATAATTTTTTTAATATAGCTTATAGATCTTTATTTCTTTTATTTAATAGATCATACATATTCACAGACACAATTCATTCATTATCAACTAAATACATAATTTGTACGTATACATAAAAAATTTCATAGAATATTGAATGCTGCAATTCACTTTTTGTATAGTTGATATAAAAAATTAAATTAACCATTTTTTCTGATAAAATATACAATCGATTCTATAGAAAAAATTTAAATATTTTGATACAAATTATATCATATGCTGCGATAGCAATCAATAAATAATATATATCATTGTTAATATCAAACACGTGGTTTTTTTTTTGAAAAGCAAACCGAAAAACAAAAATGTGGTGTTGTTTTTGCGTGATTGACAAATAAATCGATTTACATTTTTATATTGTACTAAAAATAGATAATAAGTCTACCGATATTTTTCCACCGATACAACAAAACAATCGAAAGCTAACAGAAATTTTCATCTTAAATTCTTTTATTTTATCAAAGTTGATGAGATACTTATTAACAATATTTTAATTCATTTTGTCTTTTTTAATCATCACCAAATATCATACAAGATCATACCTCTTTTGTAACAATTTAATTTCTCTACTACATTTTTTCTTATGATCTAAAAATTCTAAATGTTATTTATTAATGTATTTTCAAATTACCATTTTAATAAATTGTTCGATAGATATATGAAATACACAAGGTAAAGATAATATCTAACATGTAAATATAATATATTAGAATTATATTGATATTTTGACATATAATGATATAAATTAATCATTTTATGATTTATATTTTATTTAAATATTTCATTTATCACATCACATGATATAACTCTTAGTAAGAGCGTCAGCTGACTATATATTGGAAATGATGTAATCGTTTCATAACATCATCATGAATAAAACAAGAAATGATACATAAATCATAAATAGAACAATTTAGATAAAATCTTCTTCTTGTCAGATACATAAATCATATTCAAAACGATAATGAAGGACTCGTGACTAAACTAAAATTTTTAGAGTACAAGTTATTCATCAATTCGAGGTCTTATTCGATCATATATTCATATATCAAATGTAATGGAAACAAATATTTTACTTCCAGACAGAATATTTTATTCTATACATCAGAAACGATAAAATACAATTTAATTCGATTATTTTTGCTTTAAAGTTAAGATGAACAAATAAATAATTGACGCTTAAGATAAATACTAAATAAATTAAGAACAATTGATAATTATTAATTAATGAATGAAATAGTTTTAAAAAAAAGCAATATTGTTCCATGATGACGATGTAATCGTTGATTATGCACTTAAAAGACAGAATATATCAAACTTTTGTTATATTTCATATTACGTAGGCGAAAAATGTTTACTGAAAATTTTTCTTTGCTTAAAATTTAGATGAATCACCAATAAACGAAAGATAATTATACTCTTTTAATAAACAGAAATACATTGTTTACTA